TTGAAACTCGGACTTGTGGGGGGGATCAAGGGCAACATACGTAACCTAAATATCTGTACCCCCATAATATGCTGAAATAAAAGAAAAAAAAAAAAAGAAAGCACATAGCTAATCCTTTCCTTTTAATTCAAGTTCAGCATGTGATATTTAGCACCACCCAGTGGCAATCTTTTCTTATGTTCTCGTGAATAAATAGCAACTTTGCAAACTCTTGATCACAAGAGAGAACATCTCAATCAACAGATGCTAGAAAAAAATTGCAAATCAAGTTAAAGCAGTTTCATTTTTAGTATATGTGCTGCCGAAGCGGGCATGATCAGTTTCATTTTTAAAAAGTCATCTACTTTTAAAAGTTCAGACTGTTTTAAGATTGTTTTCCTGGCCTCCTGTCTCCTTAAAGATGAATAGCTTAGGTAGTTTAAAAACAACAAAGAAGTAAAAAAAATTCTCCTTTTCTTCTCTAGCTGTATACATATATTGCCTTTAAAATAAAATTATATGTTAGAAGGAAGGGTCCATTTGTAAGGTATAGTAGTAAATTTTTCTTTTTTTATTTGAGATAGGTGCAGTGGCATCATCATAGCTCACTGCAGCCTTGAACTCCTGACCTCAAGTGATCCTGCTGCTCTGGCCTCCCAAAGTGCTGGGATTACAGGTGTGAGCCATTGCTCCCAGCCTGAATTTTTCTTATGAGAAAATAGGGGTGTCATCATCAATGCTTTAAAAAACAATGTAGAAGAGTAAGAGAGAAAATTGGGGCTCTTTCTCGAGAAATCTTCTGATTATTTCTTCTAAGAAAACCAACTGGAATACAGGATGACTCTGTCCTATACCAATCTAAAACATGACCTCCCTTAACATACATGTAGACAATCTATGTCTTAACCGACTTGGAAGAAAAGCAAAATTATAGATATAGAAATGTGTTTTCTCAAATTATTCTTTTTCGAACTGGATTCAGTCCCAGGCTGCTGCTTATATCAGTGATCCCTTCTATTAAATAGGACCAGGCTGGAGGGCTTGCATTCCACTGAAAGGGCATGAGGCACCTGCTGCCACAGCAGGGAATTAAAAAAAGAAGGACCATCACTGCCCTTGAAGAACTGAAGAAATCTTTGAAGTTTGAATATGTGGGGAGCACAGACCAAGGCTGTGCCCTGATTTTCCATTTCCAAAAGTCACACTTTAAGTTAAAAATTCGTTCTTCAAATTTCCACATATCAAAAGAAAATATAGAATTTAAATCACAGTATCTTCTCAAAAGGAAGAGAAAAAGACAGTTCTTCATAGAAGTCTTTTTCTTTTCTTTTTTGGTGTCTTAAATGTCAATGATCACAAAAACTCCTGGTTTCTCTTCACTATAGACCTACATTGCTGAATATGTTACTGCTTTAACTTCTGTTTTCTGAGGGTGCTTGGACAATGAAAATTCTTCTTCTCACACAGTTGACTGTAATTTGAAATTTCTTGGATCAACATTAAGTACCTTCATTTCCCGGAGTGTGAAGAATTTATCAGCACTAAACTTACAAAGCCATTCATCCAAAAAGTGAAAGAGAAGAGACTGCAAGTTGTCTCTGAACATCCTCTGTATGATCCAAATATTCGTACTTCCTATTGACTGGCAGATGCTTGGCCTTAATTGCCTTCTGCTCCTCAGCCAAATTGTAGTCTCTAACATTTGCCTCTTCCTGCGCCATCTCTTCCTACTTTTTTCATAGAACGTTTCACTCTCTAACATAATAATTTGCTGTTCATTGTCTTCTATATTCTACATACTCCAGGAGGTCAGGGATTATAGCAAGTGCTCAATAAATATTTGTTGAATAAATTAACAAAATAGACAGAGAAGATGCACTGCCCTCTTAAATGCAAACATTTTAGCAAAACTTTAGTAATCTTTGAGACTGCTGGGACTCCATTCTTTACTGCTATAACCCTGGCCTCAGCCACCACTGACCCCAATAACACAGTAGGAAGTTAATGCACATAACTCACAGTTCCACAGGTTCCTTCTGTGGAAGGATTTAAGTATTTATGGCCTTAACAGACCTCCAGGATCCAACCTTTCCAGTATCTGTAATTAATTACCCCATGAAAGTATCAAACTTGTAGTTTTAAACTGTCTCCAGAAAGCAAAGAAGTCTTTGCAAAGAGTTGAAATCTAACCACAAAATTTTCTTAAAGCTCTTTCCCAGGATTCCTATATAAAGTTCAAGCATCCTCAGACACTTGCTTATCCTCTGCCACCCTCCCTCTGGGGCTTCCCCTTACATAAAAAAGAAGAGACAGGATAAGAAGGATATGTGCTGTCTTTTCTCACGAGCAAGAATATTTCTTTATTTTCCAAGATAGCAAACTCATTATTAAAGCACATCCCAACTTTTAAGAAATATGGAGCTAGTGAAGAAGGGGTAACAGGGGTTGGGGAGAGTGGGGAAAACACCTGCCAGTGATAAAGCGGGGCTCTCTCATGCCTGGGACAGCTACAGTGGTCTGCATTCTACCACCATCTCACAGTAATGATGTATGAACTAGAATAGCACTTGAGGTTTTTAGCTCATTTGCCCCTCAGGTCAGAAGCAAAGCAAAGCAAGCACTATTGTCTGTTTTACACAAGAAAGTGGAACTCAGTGATTAGGTTACTTGCTAAGGACAGACAGGATAGTAAAAACAGGACTTCAGACACCTGCTGGGGCTCTTCTAGTTACACATGGTTGCTTCTCACGTGTCCCCATGAGGGATCTGGAACTTATGTCTTAGATCTTTCCACGGCTCTCCTTGTTTCTTTTCAAATTACCCTACAGGGCTGCTCTGGTGCTGTCAAGCAAAGGCTATTACTTGGGTGAGAGTCTACTTTTGCAGGAGTTTCAGAAACCACCTCAGCCCCTAATCCCTCAATTCGTTAATTTCTCAAACATTTATCAGCATTTTCTAAGTGTAGGACACTGTGCTGAGAGCTGAAGATTTGCAGATACAGTCCCTGCACTAAGCTTCTGAGTCTAGTGATAAGGGGGCCACAGAAAGAAATCAAGAATGAAATTCAGTGAGGGAGTCCACCTCAAACCTGGCTATGGCTTTGCCAGAGTGTTCTGTAAATGTTTACTATTTGACTTGGTATCAAAGCATATCTATTTCTCTAATCCTTTCTGTCTGCTGCTATTAGCTCCTCCATCCCTTTATGTCCTGAATTGCTTTGGTCTATGACATTACAAGGTACTAGTAAAAATAGGGATTCTGGCAAAATGCTAGAGTATCTCTCAAGGTGAACTTTTAGGATCAAATAAAATGTGGAAAATTTTTAAAATTCATGTTTAAACAGAAACATGTGCATAAGCACATCCCAACCATTTGGAGTTCACTATCAATGAAGTTAAGCTAACTCTAAAAAGGAAGTCTGAAGAGAACAGAAAACTCCTCAGTGATCAAAAAGTGATGAGTAAGTGTATTCATGCATCTGACTCTTTGGGAAGAGTATAATACCATGTATGCAGCAGATCAATTTTCACACAAGTAAATGCAAACATATTGATAATACTGTGTTGATGTTTTTACCTTTTTCAGAAAATTGGCAGAATTAATCCTTTGTGCAGTAATAGAATTCACATCTGAAAGGGATATATCTTTCTCGATCTCACTTTCAGGCTCCTAAACACAGAATTAAGTTAGTTTCATTTCTCCAATGTAATAGAGTTCAGATATGATAAGCTGCAATAAATATTAGTATTCATTTCAGTTCATGTGTAGGACATGGGCAACATTCTGGCACTGCAAAAAGAAAACATTTCTTTCAGATTCTCCCACCAAGATTAGCTAAAAGCAGTTTATGACTACATTCTGTTTGCCTCTAGGTTGAGCACCATTCATCTTTTAAAATAGAGTAATGATTGAGAAAAAAATTATGACTGAGAAAATGATGAAAACATGTGAAGATGATTGAGAAGAAAATTATTTATGTATGCATTTGCCTGGCAATCACTGAGAACAATATGAATGGGAAGTAGTATAGTGCAGTAGGTAAGAAAAATGGGCTTCGGAGGCAGATAGCCCTGGATTCAAGTAGGCCCTGCTGTATGGTTTGGAGAAAGTTGATTAATTACTCTAGACCCCAGTTTCCTTTCTATAATAATGATGATGATGATGATGATAATGATAATGACACCTATGCTACAGTATATTTGTGAGGCTTAATTGAAACAATATCTATAAAGTGCCTGGCACCTATACTCAACATGTGTTTAGTATAATCAATAACTTTAATATTACATGTGTAGTTGGTATAAGATTATTTGTCAGGACTCTTCATCTACATGATTTAAAGTAAATTTGCACTTGTTATTTATGCATCTGAAGTACACATCCCCAATGCACATGGAAATCATTTTATATTATAGATGTCATTAAAGACTACACAAAAACAATAAAGTAGATAGGAAATGGACAAATTCCTGGAAACACACAACCTCCCAAGACTCAATGAGGAAGAAACAGAACTCCTGAACAGACCAATAACAAACAGCAATGAAAATTCTTCCATAAAAAAAAAACAAAACACAAAACCCAGACCAGATGGATTCACAGCTAAATTCTACCACTAAATAAAGCTAACTTTTCTTTTTTTTCATATTTTAAAGTTTCTGAAATTGAGATGTGCTTTACAATCAATGTGTAAGTTTATTGTGGTAGTGTTTCTCCCTCTTACCCCTAAAAGCTGCTTTTAAATTGGTGATACATTTTATGATAACAAAAATACAATAGTTACATAAATTTAGAATATACCTGAAGGATTTTGGCTGTTAAACAGATTGGACAACATTAAGTTGCAAAATCAAGCTAAGGGCTTTCTGGAACTATGGGAGATCTGTACATTTTTATTGTCTAAAGAGAAGGAGGTAAATCTGTCAACAGATTATTAGTTTAAAAAAAACAAAGAAATTAAGATGAATTTAAAGCAGCAAAATACTATCTTTAGCATACAACAAGCCATATTAAAATAGAAACCAAGTACCTGGAAGACTAAATCTGGAATTTCCCTATCGTAGACAGGCATTTGCTGCAGAAGGAAAATATCTAATTGACCTGCATTTCTAAGCTGCAATAGCTGGAAACGTTTACTCTTTTTCATCTCCTCTTCAGAAACAAAGTTAAATTCATCTTGCAACTGTTCAAGACGGAAATATTTTGGAATAACCTGCTCCTTATGTCTCATGTACTGTAAAACACAAAAAGGTAAAGTCTTTACTTAAAATATTAATTTTGTTAAAATCAGGAATTATTTCAGAACTCTTTTTCTCCCTCAGCTGTGAGATGTAAAAGTGGCAATATAAGTAGGAAAGTAGGAGAAATTGAATCTGTAGAGGGATAGAAGATGCAAAAAAAATACAGAATGCAGTCAACATGGCTTCTCGACCTTCTCCTAGTCATGACTTACACAGAAAATGAAGATATTTGTATGGTACGCTGAATTAAAAGGTGAGTCTGTTCCTATTTGGTTACTCTATGAGTTGAGAGAGGATCAATATTTCTGTACATCTGTAACCAATTCTGTACATCAGTTGGAAAGCTCTAATCTAGGGGAGCTCAATGTAGTAATCTGATTTATAGGTTGCTTTAATCAACAAATGCAAATGTGAGTGCACCCTCCTTGCAAGGAATAGTGCTAGTTGCCAGCAGAGAGGCAAAAATTTATCAGCTGTAGTTCCACAAGAAAAGATAAAACACGTGAATGAATAACTACAGTAAAAGGCAGAAAGAGATTAGAGTTTTAAGAGTTTATTTAAAAAGAAAAAAGGTTGATAGGAGAGCGAGAGAAGAGCCCATGTCTAACTGAGGTTACCAGGGAAGCATTTTTCAGCTTGCAGGGTGGATAAGATAGCCACTGTGGATGCCCTTCTAGGCACAACAATGGCACGAATAAAGGCACGAAGAAAGCATGTTTGGGGTACATAGAGCAGTTCAGTTGGCTATAAGGAAGAATGAAAGTGATCATAAATGGAGTCTGAGGGAAGGAGTGTGTCAAGTCATCTTGATAAGTCACCTTGATATCTTCAGCCTCTAATAATATGGCTGGCATATCTATTGGTGCACAATAGATGTTAAACTCAAGGTTTGCCTGCTGGATATGCTGTGGACTGCTAAGTAGGTGCAGAGGACCAACCATCAGGCCTAACAGTAATTATTTCAGTTGCTGAATGTCCAATTGCCTTTACAATACTGTACACTGGTTGAAAACTGTATGTCCTCAGATTTACCTTGACATGCCCCCTAGTGCCTAGAAAAATATATAGCAAACTATGAGGGAGTAGAAAAGGGTGGAGCTTAGGAAATAGAATACATTTACAGTATTGATATTTGCTATAACTTACCATAATAAATTCCATTAAATCAGAATATTCTGGATTATTTGGATCAATTCTGACTTCGTTTGCCCATTCAAAAAGCTTCTGTGCATTAATGAGCCACGGAATTCCAGGAACCCCTCTTGCATTTACATTCCTTAACACACTAACACAGAGAAAACATTTTGTGAATTTGCATACAATACACAGATTATACATCATTAAACAGGGTAAAAACATACCCTTTTGGATCTTCAAGATAAAACCTATCTTTCCCCTGCATTTGAGGGTAAAATAGAAAGTTTAGATGTGATAGCTCTCCTGGTTCTTCTCATATTCTAATTTGTATCATAGTTTTTTTGATAAATGTCTACAAAAGACAGTAAGCTTCTTAAGAATAAAATCTGTAAATCTCTGCCATTTCCACCTGTGTAGTAGCTAAAATATAGTAGATGCTTAAGTTAACAGTGCTTATTGGATGTATTCTGTAAACCCTAAACATAGAAACTTATTATTTTCTTTTCACAGGATGAACAATATTGAAATTTAACCAAAATGTTTGCTTAAGCAAAATTAAGAAAGTACACAAAATAAAAACAACTTTAGGCCATATCTTTACAATTGAAACATAATAGAGAGTAATGCAATTAACCAGACAGTATGTGCCAGGGAGGTATCTTTGTTTGATCATACGAGACCATCTTCAAAACTCACAGTATATAGCCTTAGCGACCTTAGCTGTAGGCTAAGTGCAGAAGGAATTCAATCCTAAAGAGTAAAGATTTCTTTAGAGCTATCGATTATCCTAGTTATTAAATCTCTCTCTTCATAGATTTGTTCCATCATGTGTAGAGGAATTTGGACTAAAAAATTTTCAAGATCCTTTCTATAAAGTACTTGAGAAAAGGTCCCATCTATAAATTGGGACTCCAGAAATAAAGTTCTGACAAAGATTCAATAATTTTTTAGCCCAAATATTTTACACCATCTCCTTTCCATCATTTATATTTCTATGAAAAATCTTCTTAAGCTATTGCTGCAAAAGCCAATGAATGGTAAGATAGGATGTAAGCAAAATTATAAATAGGTGAAGTTTGAGTATTTTCTTTTCTTTTAATTCCTATTTTTGCCCTCATGTTTGAACTGTTTTGATGTCTATATCATAAGAGATCCGTAGGACTTGACACTCTTGACACTACCATGCAACAAATTTTCCTTTGAAAACAGCCTTAGCCCAGGTCCCCTCCAAGACAGAACCTGAGGCAAAGATTAGATGTTAATGAATAGATTAGAGAAACTTATCCCATTATATCCTTAAAAAAAAAAAGAAATTTGTAACTGGATTTTAACATCATCCCATGATTTCTGCCTCCTGAGAAGTAATAAAAACCTCAGAGCCTTGCTACAGTGATTCTCCCAGCTGTCTGTAAGTAGTTAGCTGTGGGCTATGGCAAAGTCCCTGTGTCATCTGTACGGCTCCACAACTGAACACCAAGTAAACAATGTGCCTCTTGGCTCAAGACCAAATAATTGAAAGTTTTCTTTCTCTTTCCTTCTTTTCTTTCTCTTTCTTTTCTCTCTTCCCTTTCCATCCTTCCCTTCCTCCCTTCCCCCCTTCCTTCCTTCTTGAGACAAAGTTTCGCTCTGTCACCCCAGCTAGAGTGCAGGGGTGTCATCATAGTTCACTGCAACCTCAAACTCCTGGGCTCAAGCAATCCTTCTGTCTTAGTCTCTGGAGTAGCTGGGACTACAGGCACACGCCACCACGCCCAGCTAATTTTTCTAATTTTTGTAGAGACGGGGTCTCCCTCTTGCTCAGGCTGGTCTTAAACTCCTGACCTCAAGTGATCCTTCCTCCTTGGCCTCCCAAAGTGCTAGGATTACAGGTGTGAGCCACCATACCTGGCCCATTCTTTCTTTTTTATTAAAGATTTTCACTTTGCAGGTGGAGAGCTGGAAGTAGTACCCAAAGGCATGTGAAACTCTCTGATTGTTGTCTGTCTAATGGTGTCCTAAAATATGTATCTTATTTCAGTCAAAAAGAATCAAAGTATAGCATGGTCCTGAAAAAGAGGCATTCTTTAATTCTAGCAGGCCCCAAGACACATGGCTTATACAGCCAAATGCTAGGCCAAAGGCATCATTTTTTAAAATTCAGGTAAAATATGCATAATATAAAATTTACCATTTTAATAATTCTTAAGTATATATATATAATTCAAGTGGCATTAAGTACATTCACAATGTTATACAACCATCACCACTATCCATCTCCAGATTGTGGTGATAACTGTGCAACTCTGTGAATATATTAAAACAATAACTCCCTATTTCTCCCGTCCCCAGCCCCTAGTAACCTCTATTCCACTTTCCACCTCTATGAATTAAGAAAAAAATTTAAAGTTACTAGGGAGAAAAGACAGTCTAAAAAAGCCCAACATTTAAACTGATAGTGGACTTTTAAACAGTAATAATAAATCCCAGAAGATTATGCAGTACTATAATAGCTTCAAAGTGTTACGGAAAAATAAATACCATCTTCAAATTTTATACCCACCCAAATTACTATTCAAGCATTAGGACTTCTCTCATTACTACATTAACCTTTGCTATGCATTGAAGTTTCTTTTTTTTTAATTTATTTTTATTTCAGGATATTATGAGGGTACAAACATTTTGGTTACATTTTATGTCTTTGCCTCACCCAAGCGAGGATCAGAGGCATGCCCTTCCCCTCTGCAATGCTCCCCATGTCCTTCAGTTGTGGGTTTACTCTCCCCACCCCCCGCCGCCAACCTCCTAATCCCTGGAGAATATTACCACTGTGTGAGCACCATAGTGTTGATCAGTTAGTGCCAATTTGATGGTAAGTATATGTGGAGCCTATTCTTCTGATCTTGTGATACCTCACTTCGGATAATGGGCTCAAGCTCAATCCAGGAAAATATAAGAGGTGCTAGATCACTGTCGTCTCTTATAGTTGAGTAATATTCCATTGTATACATATAACAAATTTTAATAATCCACTCATGAATTGATGGGCACTTGGGTTGTTTCCACATCCTTGCAATAATGAATTGTGCTGCCATAAACATTCAGGTGCAGATATCTTTATTACAGAATGTCTTCTGCTCTTTTGGGTAGATGCCCAATAGTGCTATTGCTGGATCGAATGGTATTTCTATTTTTAGCTCTTTGAGGTATCTCTGAATTCTTTTCCACAGAGGTTGCACTAATTTGCAGTCCCACAAGCAATGTAAGAGTGTTCCTGTCTCTCCACATCCTCGCCAGCATTTGTTGTTTGGGGATTTTTTGATAGAGGCCAATCTCACTGGGATTAGATGATATCTCATTGTGGTTTTGATTTGCATTTTTTGATTTGCATTTCTCTAATGATTAAAGATGTTGAGCATTTTTTTATATGTTTTCTAGCCATTATGTCTTCTTTTGAGAAGTTTCTGTTTGCCCATTTATTGATGCGGTTGTTTGATTTTTTCTTGTTGATTTTTTTAAGTTCTAGATAGATTCTTGTTATCAGCCCTTTATCAGATATGTAGAGAGCAAATATTTTCTCCCATTCTGTAGGCTGTCTATTCGCTCTAATGATAGTTTCCTTGGCTGTGCAAAAGATTTTTAATTTGATCAGGTCCCATTTGTTTATTTTGTTGCTGCTGTGATTGCTTTGGGGGTCTCCTTCAAAAATTCTTTGCCTAGGCCAATGTCTGAAAGGGTCTTCCCAACATCTTCTTCTAGAATTCTTAAGGTTTCATGCCTTAGGTTTAAGTCTGTTATCCATCTTGAATTGATTTTTGTGAGAGGTAAGAGGTGGGGATTCAGTTTCAATCTTCTGCATGTAGCTATCCCAGCACCATTTATTGAAAAGAGATTCTTTTCCCCAGTGTATATTTTTGTCTGCTTTGTGAAAGATTAGATTACCACATGCAGATGGTTTCATCTCTGGATTCTCAGTTCTGTTCCAAAGGTCTATGTCTCCATTCTTGTGCCAGCACCATGCTGTTTTAGTTACCATAGCCTTGTAGAACAGCTTGGAGTCTGGAAGACTGATACCTCCCATTTTGTTCTTTTTACTTAAGATTGCGTTGGCTATATGAGGTCTTCTCTGGTTCCATACAAAGCACAGAATTATTTTTTCTAGATCTGTAAAGAATGATGATGGTACTTTGATAGGGATTGCATTAATTCTGTAGGTCACCAGTGAACCAAAAGAGAGTCTTAGAATGCTTTAGCACCTCCTTAAACACACCTCTCAAATCCCAATGGTTGGTTTACTATCTCCACAATTTTGCCTTTTCTAGAATGTCATATAGTTGGATATAATTTTTTATTTCTATTTGTTTTTAAAAATATGTGTTCAGACAGGGAGGGGAAGGCTATTTTTATAATCATTCCTAACTTTTTTTTCTTTTTAAAGATGGGGTCTCACCCATGTTGCCCAGCCTGGCCTTGAACTCCTGAGCTCAAGCAATCTTCTTGCCTTCACCTCCTGAGTAGCTGGGACTACAGGCAAGCACCACCATGTCCAGCTCATTCATTACTTCTTAAATGATGAAATCTACTAGTTCTTTTATATTTATTATTTTCCTCAAACAGCATAGTACAGAAGCCAGCATTATCATCATTTTTATAGAATTTTATTGTACTCTTACTAGTAAACCTGTTTGTGTGTGTGATCTAAAAATTAATCTCAACTCCTCTGGGAATTCCTGGGACACAGAATAAAATTTTCAGGATTTTTCTGCCAGCAAGCTGATAATGCATAAATGATTCTTTGGTAATCTAGAATGACTGGGAGATATAAAAGCCCCAGAAATATATCCTTGGGAATCTTGGCCTTTGCCTACAGGTTAAAGGCTATGAGAATGCCTCTCTCATCATCCACATGGCAATAATCCTAAGCACTGAAGAGACACATTCTCCTACATATAAAGTTACTGCCTTAGAAAAGTGATTTAAAGAATAAAATAATTCAACATCCAAATAAACTAAACTGTTCCTACTACTGCTTGAGTTTTCTCCTTTACACACACATTTTGTCTGATGCCTTGCTCAGACCTGGCATTATTTTTGAAACATATATGTTTATTACCTGCAGTAAGCAGATCTTGATGGCTGGGACAGAGGTGTCAGAGGAATGCCATTTTCATCTAAGGCCCATGATAGAGAATAGCTAAGTTTTCCTGATGTTAAAAGACATAGTTCTTCAGTTCCACTTCCCTCAAGAATAAAAGGCACATCTGTTTTGTAAAAGGCATTAAAAACATGAATTTTTAAAGTGTGTGGATAAAGCACATTGTGGATTTTTCTCCTGACTTTTACTTGTGGAACCCAAGGAACACAAAGGAAGTTCTGTGCTGGGCCCAGGCTGTTCTCTTAGTGCTCTCCCTCATCTCCCCTCTAAGACTTCAAGGAAGACTACTTCAAATAGACTAAGAGGAAAAGACTGAGCTGACTACATAGAGATGAACACCTGTATTTTCCTCTTCTTATGCCTGGAAGTTTCTTAACCATTCTTTCTGGGAGTGGCTTCCAGCAGAAAAGGACCATTGGCAGCAGAAAAAGGGACAGACAAGCTCCTGTTTCTCCCCTTTCCCTGCATTCCTGAGTCTTCTGTCGCTACCCATTTTCCTTCTCAATCTCCAGAGACTTTAACAATACTTCTTGAAACTTTTGCTGTTCCCAGTGTTCCTTAAATTTTTTGCATCCTGAGTCCTTTTCTCCAGGGTCTCTACAACCCTATTCCTCTGCTTCATCTGGACTCTAAGCAGACTCTATACTTTCCTCATTCCCTAATCTCCCCAGGCCCTTTCACCTAGTTATTATCTTCCTTTCTCTCCCTGCTCACTTGTTCATACTTCTTGCCTTTTCACCAGATAAGCAGTTGCAAAACCCCTAAGAAGGTGAAAGAAAGGAATCTCGGGGATGAGAGAAATGATAGTGTTCTTGGAGATGTGCTAACGTAAACTTCATTGCATAAGAGTAAAATCAATTGAAAAACAAATAAACAGAAACATCCCTTCTTCTTTCCTCTCTCCTTTTTTCTGTCCTTCCTTCTATTCTTCTCTCCCTCCTGTTCTTCCTCCCTTCCCTACACAGTCAGAGGCTAATCCACATGTCCTGGAGCCCCTTAGGCTCACTAAAGGAGAGGCAGAGACAGAGCAGTCCATCCACCCAGGAGCAGAGCTCGCTTCCAGGGAGCATAATGCTTTTGCCCTGGAGGGAAAGCATAGGTGCTAACTGCAAATTTTAAATTTCCTGAAAAATCCACTTCAAGACAAAGTTTTAAACAATCTAGTTTACCATCTAAATGGAGAATTTAATTCATTTTTAACCAAAAACTATAAATACAGGATGCTTTGCTCACGTAAATGACCCAGGATTATTTAGGATATGGTGCTCATGAAGAAAACAAGGGAAGAAACATTTTTAACAAACTCACTGCTTCCTACTTCTCCATCCTCAGGTGTGACCAGCTTGTCAGAGCTAAACTCTACATATTCCAAAACAGTTTTGCTTTTCAGTTCTGTGTAGTTAGGTAAAGGCAAGTATAGTTTTGCCAGTAAGCTTGTCCTTTTACTTACTTCATAAACCTAAATAGAAAAGAAATGGTTGATAGCTCACAAGACATACAAAATAGAAAAGAAAAAATAAGCACCTTCAAAAACATATTTTTATTCATTTTTTAAAAATACTAGAAAATACGTATTGTTCTATAGCATTTCAACCACATGATTATGAGTAAAGTAGATAATCATATGTCCTTAAAAGTATAATGCCTTTTACTGGATTCACAGAAAATAAACTGAATAAAAGAATTACAAATACAGTTCTGAGAATATAGGTACATACAACACAACATCCTAATAACTTACTTTGTGTAGTACTTTAAAAATTCTTTATCTCATTTGAACCTGATAAAAATTATAGGAAATATTAATAGATATTATTCTCATTTTACAAATGAGGAAATAGAGGTTCTAATATGAAAGTATATTAGTTTTTATTATAAGTGATTGAAACCCAGGTTGAATTGGTTAGGAAAAAGGGAGATGTAATCCTAGCACTCTGGGAGGCTGAAGTGGGAGGATCGTTTGAGCTCAGGAGTTCAAGACCAGCCTGAGCAAGAGCAAGACCCTGTCTCTACTAAAAATACAAAAATTAGATGGGTACAGTGGCACATGCCTGTAGTCCCAGCTACTCGGGCAGGGGCTGAGGCAGGAGGATCACTTGAGCCCAGGAGTCTGAGGTTGCTGTGAGCTAGGCTGATGCCATGGCACTCTAGCCCAGGCGACTGAGCAAGACTGTCTCAGGAAGGAAAAAAAAGAAAAAGAAAAAGGGAGAATCACCATCTTGTGGAATCCAAGGACAAGTTAACAAGCTATGAGAATGGGGGAGGGAGGAAAAGTTCAGGAAGAAGGGAAAAAGGAGGTGCTAAGTAGAAAGTACCATAGGGGTTCAGTGGGTACTAAACCCAGGTCTTCTGATTCTCTATGCTGTGCTCTCTACTACAATGCCATGCAAGTTCACTGCCATAACTATAAACCAAAATTTTTTTCAATAGAAAAATGTCATTTTGACCTATACTATTTTGTCAGTGCTTGGGGAAACAGTGATATGTGCTCTAAGAAGGAAATCAAGGGGGAAAACTGCCCCTTGGAAGATCAGGAAGAATGTGTCAATCAAAATGATAGCTGATTAGCAGAGAAAGCAAAGAAAAAAGAAAGTCAAATAAGCACAATTTTTTTTTCTGGTCATCTAAATGCTTTCTTGTAAGAGTGAATTTAAGCCAACACACTGGTCTCTTTGACAAAGGCATCCCTGGTGCAGAAAGGTTTGTAGAAGCTGTAGGCCTGTGCAAGAAATTCTTTTTAGGGGCAGGGTCTCCAACTCCTGGGTTCAAGTGATTCTGCCACCTCAGCCTCCTGAGTAGCTGGGATTATAGGTGTGTGCCAGTGCTGGAGTGAGAAATTTCTTATTATAAATCAGTAAATTGACTAACTAAAAAGAGAAAATGAACTGATAAATACATTCAAATGTGGAATTGGCATTCTGATTTTACACTTCAGCCTTGTGAATTAGCTTAGGGTTTGTAGAAGCATTCTCAGTGGCCCCTCAAATCCAGGTTCTCCGATTACGGCTGGAGGCCAGACCCTGGACAGTGGTAAGTGTACAAAGATAGAAAATTCCACATAGTGAGGCCTCCCAGGAGACAGTCTTGCGTCCTGCTGACAGTTACCAACACCACTGTGTGGCTGAGGCTGAGCATCTTAAACATGTTAAGAATGAAAATGGGCATTATAAATGGAGCAGCTAGAATTTATAAAAGTTCAGATGTAGAAAGTTGCAAGGATGTATGGGAAAAAGAAAAGCAGTTCAGTCTGGCTGAATCGAAGAGTAAAGAGGAGTGGTAAGAAATGAAATAGAAATACAGTTAGAATCCGTTAGGCTAGGGCGTAGAGATTTACTTTGCAATTTTTGCAGCTGCTAATGGTACAATTGGTAGAGACAAACTAGATTCCTCTCCTTCCCTGCCTCTTGGTTTATTAGGATGATGTGCTAAGTGATAGGATCGATGAAAGACTCAAAATACACATTTACCTATTTGGGGAAGCAGATTTTAAACTTCAAGTGATTAGATTATTATATCACAATTTATTTTAGGTTAAACAGTAGGAAAATATAGTCAGCATATTTTTAATGTAGGTATTTACACAGGGGGAGATTGTAAAGATGATAGGAACTTGAATAAATGAATACTGAATAGAGCATCTATTGGGGATAGAACAAAATCATCTTAGGCATTATAAAAATAATTTTGATTTAGATTTGTAATTATAATCCTCTCCCTACTCCTCAAGCTCCATCTTCCACAAATCTTTATTCACTCCTAACTTTTCTTTCAGGTCTAGCTTCAAGTTTAACCCCTATATGAACCATTAGGACTTCTTGTTTAGACTCCTTTACTGCCTCTATTTTTTTCCATCATCCTATTTCCTTCTTCCTTTAGTGCAGGGGTTCTTATGGGGTGATCTTTGGACAGCGATCAGGGGTCTTGTGTACATGCTTTCATCTGATTTTTAAAGGGATCCAAAATCCAAAACAGATGAAGAACAAATACATCAAGAGACTGAAGCCACCAAGTCAGGGATGGGGCAATTTGGAGAAATCATTCCACACTTAAAATAGCTATGCTACTCATTATACTTTAAGCAACTCTCTTCTGCCTCACTTGAGAATGAATAGTAATGCTGCACATCCAGGGCTGGCAGAAATTTTAGCAGGAGAAAAGTATTTGTAACAACTACAAATCAAAGATTATATTATAAATTATAATATAATTATAAATATCTTACCTATATTGAGATTAGAGATCATCTCAATATAAAAGATATAAAATGAGTCATCTTTTAATATGAAAGAAATTACCACATATATTAGTAGCTAATAAAAAATTTTAAAGTTATGTATGGCATAATACATACATTAGATACAAAAAATACATAAGATACCAAAGTAAATGACAATGGCATACCTTCAAGCAAATTGTTTCAGGCCAATATAATAACTGCATATTGAAAATTTGTTGAAACATGACTTTAAAATCAAACTGTAGGGAAGATACTGAAGTACAAGACACTTGTTTATCATTGTAAAATATTTTAATAAAATATTTAAGCTTCTGAATTTTGGCTCTCCTCTTTTGTTCATGCCTAAAAATTAAATAAACCTTTAATTGACCCTTGAAAAATAGAATGGACATAAAATATTGTCCTTTCAAAATGTACTTTAGCATGTTAAAATGAAGGTGATATTTTTAGTGGACAAATGGTATCTTTAAACCAAATAACACTTGTCTACATGTGGATAAAAGTTTCTCCTTCTCAAATGTTTTTAATGAAAAATATGTACTCAAAAATAGAAAAAGAACTAAAATCAAGGTACTTTAAATCATTCAGCTATTATTTTACTAGATTATAACTTAAAGAAATCACAGCACTTATCCACCAGATGTCTTGTAAGAGGAGAAAACTGAGGGACTGGGGAATAGGGGGAGGAGGCTTGAATAAAAAATTTAAAAATATTTTCTAACTTTTAAAAGACACACACACACACACACGTGCACACACCATGTTTTCAATAACTTCAAGGATGTGGCTCTAAGGCAATAGGCTTGCTGTGTCCTCCTAAAGGTTTTTGTAAATCCCCTTAGGTTTTAGGCTGTATACCCCTTTTCCCAGGACAATGGGGAAGCAATTCTTTCTCTGAACCTAAAGATCAGAGAGGCAAGCCAGGTTACATCCCTGGGGCTTCCGTGGAAATATTTTTATGGGGAATAAATTGATTCTTCAAGTGATATAAAACTAGTCTTTCATCCATTCATTCATTCACTCAACTGACATTTATTGAATATCTTCTCAGCTGCAAGGCAACTAACCTAAAGATGTTTAAGAACACCTTCTTTTTCAGAAGAGAGAAGACTAGAAGAAAAGCCCTAGGCTGAAACATAAAATCCCCTTCTGCTCCCACCCTAATCATCCTGTGGGCCCAGTATCTCTCTGCCCCATTATCTGCCCATCTCTGTAATGTTCTCAGAGGATTAGGGGACAAATGATTACTATTCTTCTTATCTCCTTGCTGGCCTCTTTTGACTATCTTTCCAATTACTTTCAGAGAAATATCCAAATAAAAGTTACCCTTTATGTTGCCCTCTAATAGTAGTTTTAACAATGAGCTCATGAATTGATTATGAAAATTTGTTAATTTAGGACTATATTTATCTTTAGGAAATCTTGCCTTTTTCTTGACCTGTAAATTCTTTTTAATTTCTCTCTAACCTCTATATTCCTCTCACATCTATGCTTGATATCAACATATTATTCTTTTCTAGAGAATCAATTTTTATTCAACTGAACGTTTTATTTACTTTTTTTTTTTTTTTTTTGAGACAGAGTCTCACTCTGTTGCCCGGGCTAGAGTGCCGTGGCATCAGCCTAGCTCACAGCAATCTCAAACTCCTGGGCTCAAGCAATCCTTCTGCCTCAGCCTCCCAAGTAGCTGGGACTACAGGCATGAGCCACCATGCCCGGCTAATTTTTTCTATATATTTTTATTTGTCCGATTAATTTCTTTCTATTTTTAGTGGAGACGGGGTCTCATTCTTGCTCAGGCTGGTTTCGAACTCCTGAGCTCAAACAATCCGCCCGCCTCAGCCTCCCAGAGTGCTAGGATTACAGGCGTGAGCCACCGCGTCTGGCCCAACTGAACGTTTTAAATGAATGACAACTATGCTACCAGACAGCAATAGCTTTGAAAGTTACAAGGCATTATATTTCCTTTTGCCTTGACTTCCACTAAGTTTTAGTCTAGGTTTTCCAGCACACGTATCTTCTTCCTCTTTGTTTTTTTTTTTTCCCTCCAACTTCCATTCTATGGCTCCTTTTTTCTTACTCTCATTTAGATGGTCTTGATTTACATAATAAATGATCTCAGGCCTATTTTAGAAGGAGGTGTAGAACAAATAAAGGATTGATTCACTGCTGCACTTCTCTGGTCAGAAAGAGAGTGGTGATAATTGTGTCTCTGTGTCTGCTACTCTTTGTGTTCCTTTTAAAACATAAATATCCATTCACTCATTTGATAAATATGAATATTTATTAGGCAACCACTATGTTCCGACACTCTGCTGAATGATGCACATTCACAATACTTAAAGATGGACTGATACAACGTGTGCTATGGGATAGAGTTGTTGAAAAATTGGACCTAGTGCTCTAAGTTGCCATATCCATAAGCCTAGTAGGTAAGAGAAATGGGGATGTGTATGATATCTGTTTTTGCATAAGGTCCTAGGCATAGGGAGAAAAAATTATAGCTCAAGGAAGAAATCACAACTAAGAAAAAATAAAGCTTGTATTGTCAAACAAGAAAATTGTCTAGAGGGCCCTCTTGATCTGGAATAGTTTTTATGAGAGCCAGGGGTCCTTTAATAAGCAAAGGTTATGGTATAATCATATTTTTCATGTAGCGTTATATCCCACCTATCTGTACCTGAACAAAAATTATTATCATAGCAAAATAAGAAACCCAATTCTCAATATATGAAGCTTAGCAGTGAAGACATTATAGCCTCTATAGCAAACATGACTGGAATATGTCCCACATCAGTCCTGTTTTAGATATGTTACCCTGGGCAACTTAACTTTCCATACGCATAAATTCCCCCATCTCTAAGATGAGGATAATATCAGACTTCACAAGACCTATGGTAACAATTAAATGTGAAAATGCATTTTTAAAAACTACGAGTATGAGGCATATGGCACTCAAGAAATCTAACATTATTAAAAACAATATAAGTAATAGACAATATACAATGAAGAAATAATTCTTAAAAAGTGCTTACGCTGAACACTTGGATAAGTTTGTTAATTCTGCAGTGAAGGAAAGTTGTGGCATCAAAGTAATTGGCTTTATTCTTTCAATATCTATTTCTTCAAATTCTGCAGCTAAATATGACAGTTTCTAGAAATCAAAAAATAAATATATAAGTTATCATGAACATTCCTTATGTAGGATAACTGTTCTTAAAATTAAACTTTTACTTCCTATATTTGTCATTTTGTTGGATATCTGTTACAAATACCAAGATTTCCTCTTCTACCAAACAATAAACTAGTTAAGATAAATATTATTTCACAATATAAATACCTTCTGCTTTTCATTAAGTGCTTTTCCTTCAGTTTTCTTCTCAGTCTCAGACATTTTTGACATTTGCTCTTGTTCTTGTTCATATTTATTCCTAATTAATAAGTAGAATTATTTAAAGCAGAAATAACAGAAGTATTAGAGAGTTGTTAGAGGTCTTGTCAAAACACACGTGCACACACACACACACACACACACACAACCAATCTCTTACAACAAATTATTTTATATCCTAAGGAAATTATCAATATGATAAACATTAAAAAAACTTCATAAACTTGTTCTTAGCTTTCACAAATTTCTCCCTATTCTGTAAATTTACCATTAGTATTTATAGCCCTTTATAAGGGCATCAAGAAACCTTTCCCGGCCAGGCTGGTGGCTTACGCCTGTAATCCTAACACTCTGAGAGGCCGAGGTGGGAGGATTGCTTGAGCTCAAGAGTTCAAGACCAACCTAAGCAAGAGCAAGAGCTCATTTCTACTGAAAAAAAAAAAAAAATTGAAAAATAAAAAAAGAAAACTTTCCTCTGGTGAAAATAAGTAACCAGGAGAATGGGGAAGCATAAATTAATGTACACACATCATATTTCCTCTCATTTTTCTTCCTCCCATATTTTTTAAGCTGTAAGAACATGACCAGGTAAAGGACAGGTAACCACAGTGATAGTAAGTGTTTATGCATAAACAATATGCAGTTCATGATATTAGTACTATTGCTGCTGCTGCTACTACTACTACTAGCTAACACTTATACAGTACTTAGTATGTGCCAGGTAATGTTCTGAGTACTTTACACATATTAACTCATTTAATTCTTACAGCCCCATGAAGTAGGTACTATTACTATTCCTCAAACATTAGTAGTTCAACAAAATCCCAGTTATCTGGAACTATTTCAGAAAATAATTGATGTAGGAATTGTTTTTCTGATAGCTTAAAGGTTTATTCTTTTTAGCACTAAGTTTTGTTTTTTAATTTTAATCATTTAAGAAGGAAATCCTTTGGCAAAATAGGATTATATGTTCTGTTGGGAATGGAAAATGTTTTGGAAAACAGTCTGGCAGGTCCTCAAAATGTTAACCATTAAGTTACTATATGACCCAGCAATTCCACTCCTAGGTATGTAACCAAAAGAAATAAACACATATGTCCACACATGAAGAGTAACTGCTAACATGAAGATGGTTTCTTTTTGGATGTGACTAAAATGTTCTAAGATTAAATTGTAGCGATTGTTGCAAAACTCATGAATATACTAAAAGCCATTGAACTGTGTACTTTAAATGGGTGAACTGTATGGTATGAAAATCATATCTCAATAGAACTGTTTAAAAGCTATTGTGACCTGAGACACCTTCTACCAACTAGGATGGACCCTAAGGTGAAGGAAACACAAGTTACCTATGGGTCGAGGGTTCCAGGCCTGGCTGGCATGGCAAATTTCTAAATTCCTAAGGCTACAAGAAAAACCACACTCTTGCTAAACTCCCTAACAATAGGCACTATCAGACCCCTCCTAATTCTGATTTATAACCCAGACCACCATGACTCTCATTGGACAGAGGACTGGCCTTAACAAACATTCTCTTCTGACGAGTAACTGCAGACCTTAAGCCAGTGCAACCAGCTTATAGAGGCTGTGCACAAATTGTCTCTGTGTCCTACAGTTCACCTTTTTACATAAAGAGCCAATTCCATCTCAGTTTAATGCTAAAGCCCTGCCCCAAAGTGAACATGGGATGTATGTTACATACATATTTACCCAGTGGGTATAGCTTTCCCCTCAAACCTGCAGAGTATTTATGACTCTATTGTGTAATACAGACCCTGTGAGGCATAAAATCCCAACCTTCCCCTTTCCTCCTCTAAGAGAGAGCACCTTCAGCACATGCCAGAGATATCTCACCCCGGTTTGCAAACTGCTATGACCAATAAAGCTCTCCTTTCTATTATCTTTCTACTATTTAGCTATCCTGGTGGTCTTTTGGACCAGTGGTCCCCAACCTTTTTGGCACCAGGGACCAGTTTCATGGAAGATAACTTTCCATGGACAGGTTGGGGGGTGCAGGGTGGTGGGTGAGGTGGAGCTCAGGCGGTGATGCGAGCGATGGGGAGCAGCTGTAAATAAAGATGAAGCTTCACTTGTCCCCTCCAGCTCACCTCCTGCCGTGCCACACCTTCCTAAGTTTCATGGAAGACACTTTTTCCACAGATGGTGGGGGGACTGGGGACAGAGCTCTGTGGCCACGTCCCTAATAGGCCACAGACCAGTATTGGTCAGCAGCCTGGGGTTGAGGACTGCAGTTTTGGACAGCGCTATTATTAATAGATGGCTTTTGCCTTCTGAAATAGAATATAGGGAGCCTGGTATCAACATTACCTGTATGGTCTATGCCTTTTCTCATCTGAAAATTAGGTTGTTGTGAAGATTAAAGGCACTAATTCTTGTAAAGTGCTCAGCCCAGGGCTTGGGGTAAAAGAAACAGTTAATAAATATTATTTTCCTCTGATTTAGGGTAATTACTATGACATCAATTAACTTGCTGTTCTTTAATACAATGGTTCTCAAACTTTGTTACATATTAAAATCATCTTAGGAGCTTTTTAGCACTCCTGATGTCCAGACTATACCCCGTATCAATTAAGTCACAACAGTGGTTTTTAAAATTCCCCTAGGTGATTCCAATGTGCAATAATTTAGAGAATAGCTGTTATTAGTAACTTAGAGAATGGGTATTACACCAAAAATGCCTTTTGGGGGAGGTTATTGAAGCAGTGATCTTAGATCCATAGCTTCCTCCTTTCTATTCTGGGCCAAGTGTTTCTAGGAAGTGATGATAGGCCTCGAGTTATTCTGCGAAATGTTCTGGGGTTTCCTGCTTGTATAGCTTGCACTTTCTCATTTTAAAAGCCTCTTTGACAGTTATCTGAATCTTCTCCAGGTAGGTAATGCCTAATAGAGAGTATAGGTGAAGAAAATATGCAGGAAGATGGGTTCTCTGTGCTATTTACCAGTACTGTGGTTTGGATTCCATGGCCAGAAGACAACAAAGGCTACAGCTACTTGCCGAGCCAGTTTCTCTAAACTTAATGCAGTGTTGCTAACATTTGACAAGGAGAGTTTACTGCCCGAATGAAAAGAGAGAGCTATAGCCTCAATTTCCTGCTACCTCATTTCTGCCACTGTCACTTTACAAAACTTGCTCTAGTTAAAATTACCAATAACCTCTATGTCAGGAAATCCAATGAACATTTTTAGTCCTGAACTTAATTGATATTTCAGAAGCATTAAACACTGTTAACCACTTCCTCCTACTTAAAATAACTCCCGTTTCTTTGCCTCTGTGACAAAACACTCTAACTGGTGCTTCTCTCTTCCTTCTCTGTTTTCTCCTCCTCTACCTAGTCATTCAAAGCAATTTCTCAAGACTCAGTCCTTAGCTCTCTTCTCATATTGTTCCCTACCCTCTCCCTAAGCAGTTTCATGTACATCCATGGCTTCAGTTGTGATTACTCTGCAACAGACTTTCATATTTTTATTTCTAGCACAGACCATACATCCAGTTGCTCACTCAATTGCTTTATTCAGTGATATCTCAAAGGCATATCAAATTCAACATGCCCCAAAATAATTATATGAAGAAAAGCTAACTCAAGGGAAGTGTCTAGGTCTCAGATCTTATTGTCATAAATATTGTCTTTCCTAGAGGCCTGGCTACAGTTTATTCAGTTATGACTCACAAGGACCAAATTTGTTGTGAGGTCAATAGTGGTAACCTTGGCCAGAAAACAGAGTTTCCAGAAACATCTTCCAACATATAGCTCTTCTAGATAATTAGAATGATACGTTAACTGCTTAAACTAAATGCTCCAATTTAGGATCACTCGGGCTAGCCCTGCTAGGGCCAACCTGGTCACTGACAGAGTGGGATTTAGTTCAGAGGTCTCCAACAAGACACAGTCTGGAGAGGTGAACATTTCCAAAGTCCACTGGAAAAGTAATTGTTAAATGTCAGGAAGAACAAACTCATAGGGCCTCAGGTGGGACTGGAGCTCAGAGTAGTGGCAACAAGAGTTGCTGGTGAGCAGGAAATACGGGTCCAGAGCCAATGTTCTCAGTAATTTTCCTTTTTTGCTCATGACTTCATGATGCATGGCTGTGTCAGGTTGGTTTAAAGGATTAGAGGCAAGTCATTAGAGTCATTTTAATTCAGCAGTCTAAGATAAAGTTCCATGCTAGGTTTAGGTTTAGAAATTCTCATAAGCACTTTGGCTGGGAGGTAGCTAAGCTCCCAGCAAAAAACCGGGTCCCTTTGGTAGGGTTGCAAGGGATAAGAAAATAATAGAAAATGGAAAATAATGGAAATAAAAGAATACACAGAGACAAAGGTATAGTTTTATAGATTTATAAAGATTATAGGCAAAGCGGGTGCTTACGGGGCCTGGATTTCTCCGTCAATCTCAGAGGCCATGAGTGAAGTTTTACATGGTCATTTATAGGTACAGTGATCAGTTGCCAGGGGTAACAGATTTACATAACAGCAGGTAGTTCCTCTTCGGTTAACAGTTTTTCAAAAGGCTTCTACAGATCCCTTAACTAATTCTATCTACGTGAACAAATGGTTACAAAATCTTTCAAAGACTAACTTCTAAGTTCTAAGGTAAATTTGTCACTTAACAGAGGGATTAAACAGAGATATACTGGCTCCATATTTTCTTCATCAGGTTATTGCAAATGGAGACAGGTAGTCCGGAGTTTTAAGCAGGAACTGTCCCTTGGGCTAATTGCTTATAGCCATGGGCAGCTGTCTGTTCGGGGCAGGCACTCTTTGATCAGCTCTCATCCTGTAGTTTTTAACAGATCTGCTTTGCTTTACAAAGCAAATCCAAACCTTTAGGTCTGAGAAACGTGGTGCCTTGTGGAATTCAGCCACTACTGTCTTTCAGAGATGCCCTCCTGAGGTGAAACAGCTTTCGATATGCAAACTAACATGTTCACATCCTCCTTCAGGGCAAAGCTCTGCAAAACTCCTGAGACATTTCCTGTTTCCAATATATTTATATTAATTCATGGAGCAACACACTTTTGTTGAAAAAACACTGCAGCATGAAAAAAAAAATCAACAAAATAAACATCTTCCTTAATTGCCTGAAATTACACTAAACTTTTATACTTTTAAAAAACAAAAAACCCAGGACAATGGGTTGTGGTGAGGAAACTAGTTATTTCACTGTGAGTTCACAAACAGCTTAAGTGTTTAGTTTTGAATTGTAATTATCTCCTCTACTGGATATGTTTTATGACTTTATCCAATTATCTAAAATATGTTTCACCTAGGAGTAAGATTGCTGGGTCTATATTTAACTTTATAAGAAAGTGCCAAACTGTTTCCAAAGTGGCTGTACCATTTTACATTCCCACCAGCAATGAGTCAAAGTTTCTGTTGCTCAGCGTCCTTTCCAACATTTGTTAGTGACTTTTCTTATTTTTATTTTATTTGAGATTTTAGCCATTCTAATATGTGTCTAGTACTATTTTGTTGTGGTTTTAATTTGCATTTCTTTACTGACATGACATGATGCTGTACATCCTTTCATGCATTCATTTGCCATTTGTGTACATTCTTTAGTGAATTATCTGTTCAAATCCTTTGCCCATTTTTAAATTGGGTTGTCTTCTTATTAAGTTGTACAAATTGTTATATAGTCAAGATACATATCCTGTTGAAACAGTTGTCTAGCTTCTGGATTTTTTCCCAGTAACTATAAATTCCCAGTTATTCACTGGCAGTTTCCAGGAGACCAATAAGAGCAAATAGAGAAGCCACTTACCTCTGGACCTGTAACTTTATTGGAGTGCTTGTAAACCCTTGTCGTCGTCGAAGAGATTTTATCTGTTTCCAAGTCCGTATTATACTATGCAGTAGGGAGAAGTCCTTTTCCCTTTCTAAGTCATATAGCTGTTTAGTATTACTACAACAATAATGGTAGATCAAAAATATTTTGGTAGATTAGAACCATAAGTCATTAAAAATGGCATGGAAGAATGTATTGCATTAACTCTTCTGAGCCCCCTCCACACTTTATTTTATTTTTTTTCATTTTATCCACATCTGAACCCTCTACCTTATTATTTTTTGTTATTCACTGAAATTCCAGTATTAGAAATTCATTACTTTATGACTTAAAAGTTTTTCACTATTCAAAAGTGTCCTGCTAAAATACAAATGTTCCTGAGAAAGGAAATATCCTAGTTAGAACTCTGCAAGATTCTGAAGTACCAAAGAGAGAAGAGCAATAGTGGAAGAAAGAAAATAGTGAGAGAAAGAGGGTAGAAAGCCACAGTAGGGAATTGGTTTAGATTCAGGATGTCAAAATCTCAAGAGGCCTTGATGGGAAAGGATGGTGGCGGGCCCACACCACAGAGTTTGAGTTACTCTAAGAAAATGCTGGGGAGAGATTCTGACTTCATTAAAGAGCATGAGGATACAAAATATGCCTTTCAAAACTCAGTTTATATCACTTCCTTTGTGAAGCCATCTTGAATACTGCCCAAACACAAAATTAAAATTACTTATCATAGCTTTTTATGCTTATCCTTTTTAATACTCATCAAACTTTTTGTAACTCATTCAATGTCTGTTTCCCAATGTGATTTCAAGGTTCAGTATACTGTGGATAACAATAGGTATGTACTGTAAATATTACCAACATTTTGTGTAACCCCATATCACCTCCCAATCCATTCTTGTAGCTGAAGTGTTGAACAAGAATACCTAATGGACTATTCTCCTTTAGGCCATTTTGAATAAGTGCTACTATAAGTATGATGCAGTAGAAAGAAGAGCAATATTCTTGAAGTCAGACAAACCCAGTTGTTTTTTTTTTTTTAATTTCAGAATGTTAAGAGGTACACAAACTTTGGCTACATAGACTGACTTTGCACTGCCCAAATCAGAGCTACAAGTGTGTACAACCCTCAGAAAGTGCACACTGCACCCATTAGGTGTGAATTTACCCATCCTCTCCACCACCTCCCACCCGCTCAACACCCAATGGTACTTCCATATGTGCACATAAGTGTTGATTAGTTAGTGCCAATTTAATGGTGAGTACATGTGGTGCTTGTTTTTGCATTATTGTGATGCTTTACTTAGAATAATGGGCTTTAGCTCCAACCAGGATAATACAAGAGGTACTAGTTCACCATTGTTTTTTATGGCTGAGTAGCTCCCTGGTATACATATACCACATTTTATTAATCCACTCATGTATTAAAGGGCACTTTGGTTGTTTCCACATCTTTGCAATTGTGAATTGTGCTGCTATAAACACTCGAGTACAAATGTCTTTATTATAGAATGTCTTTTTTTCCTTTGGGTAAATACCCAGTAGTGGGATTGCTGGATCAAATGGTAGCTCTACTTTTAGTTCTTTGAGGTATCTCCATATTACTTTCCATAGAGGTTGTACTAGTTTGCAGTCCCACCATCAATGTAAGAGTGTTCCTATCTCTCCACATCCATGCCAACATTTGTTGTTTTGGGACTTTTTGATAAAAGCCATCACAACATTGATTGACTGTGTTATAAATCAGTAACACAAATGATATTCATCTGTGTACACTGATTTTGAGTTAAATGATATCTCACTGTGGTTTTTATTTGCATTTCCCTGATGATTAGAGATGTTGACCATTTTTTCATATGTTTGTTGTCCATTAGTCTGTCTTCTTTTGAAAAGTTTGTTATGTCCTTTGCCCATTTTTAATAGGGTTGATTTTTTCTTATTAATTTTCCTGAGTTTTATACAGATGCTAGTTATCATCCCTTTATTGTAAGTATAGCATGCAAATATTTTCTCCCATTCCATAGGTTGTCTGTTTGCTCCAGTGATAGTTCCCTTAGCTCTGCAGAAGCTTTTTAATGTGATCAGGTCCCATTTATTTATTTTTGTTGCTGCTATGTTTGCTTTTGGAGTCTTCATAAATTCTTTGCCTAGACCAATGTCTATAAGAGTTTTTCCAACATTTTCTTCTAAAATCCTTAAGGTTTCATGCCTTAAGTTTAAGTCTTTTATTCATCTTGAGTTGACTTTTGTGAGAAATGAGAGGTACAGATCCTGTTTCAGTCTTCTACATGTGGCTATCCAATTTTTCCAGCACTATTTATTGAATAGCGATTCTTTTCCCCAGTGTATGTTTTTGCCTGCTTTGTCAAAGATCAGATGGCTATATGAGGATGGTTTTATATCTGGGTTCTCAGTCCTGTTCCATTGGTCTATGTCTCTGTTCTTGAGCCAGTACCATGCTGTTTTGGTTACTATAGCCTTGTAGTACAGCTTGAAGTCTGATAAATTGATGCCTCCTAATTTGTTCTTTTTGCTTAAGGTTGCTTTAGCTATACAGGGTCTTCTCTGGTTCCATATGAAGCATAGAATTATTTTTTCTAGATCTGTGAAAAATCATGTTGGTATTTTAATAGGGATTGCATTGAATCTGTAGATCATTTTGGGTAGTACAGACATTTTAACAATGCTGATTCTCCCAATCCATGAGCATGATATGGTTTTTCATCTGTTTCTGTCCTCTGCTATTTCCTTCCTTGGTGTTCTGTAGTTCACCCTATAGAGGTCTTTTGCCTCCTTAGTTAAATATATCCCTAGGTATTTTATTTTCTTTGTTTCTATTGTGAAAGTTAATAAGTCTTTGATTTGGTTCTCAGTTTGACTGTTGTTGGTGTATATGAATGCTACTGATTTGTGTACACCAATTTTGTAACCTGAGCCAGGAAAGGATTCAACAAAAAAGAAAACTACAGACCAATATCCCTTATGAATATAGATGTAAAAATTCTCAATAAAATCCTAGCAAATTGAATTCAGATGCTCATCAAAAAAATACTCCATCACGACCAAGTGGGCTTCATCCCAGAGATGCAAAGATGGTTCAACACATGTAAATCAATAAATGCAATTCACCACCTAAACAGAAGTAAAAACAAAGAACATAAGATCCTCTCAATAGAAGGAGAAAAAGAATTTGACAAAATTCAGCACCATTTTATGATAAGAACCCTTAACAAAATAGGCATAGACAGGTCTTACCTCAAAATGATAAAAGCCATATATGACAAACCCACAGCCAACATCATACTGAACAGGGAAAAATTGAAAGCATTCTCGCTTAGAATTGGAACCGGACAAGGTTGCCATCTATCACCACTTCTGTTCAACATATTTATCAATTACAGTACTCTGTTGGCAGAATCTTTGGAGTTTTCTAGATATAAGATCATATTGTCAGCAAAGAGCAACAATTTGACTTCTTCTGCCCCTATTTGGATGCCCTTGATTTTCTTATCTTGTCTGATTGCTCTGGCTAGGACTTGCAGCACTATATTGAAAATCTCAAAGTCTCAATATATTCAAAGGATTTAAATCACTCAGTGCAGAAACTCAATACAAAAAAATA